TGGATTAATCCCAATACTCAAATTGATGTGTTCTTGAGTCTTCTTTAACTTTTTTATAGTGTGGGGAGTGTGAAAGAATGTTTTGCCCAGGAAGACTAAACTAATACATTGAATTCTATGGCAATCCTAATTTTCACGGAATGTTTACAGTGTTAAAAAGATTTCACATTCTATGCTTTTAATATGCTATTATAACTTCTCTCACAGTTAATAGTAAAATTACTCAGTGATAATCTCCAAACATACACTTGTCCACATGAGGCATGTTTTAAACCTTCATTACTTGTCATCCCAGAGACAGATTTATATAGATTTTTTTGAAGACTTCAGAGATTTGAATACAAATGGTCAACATTTTTTTAAAAATGTGAAAAAGTGAATAGGTTGTCTTGCTTACAGTGATGACATAGTGGTAATGCTCCTGGACAGGTAATTAAATTGAAATCAATAAAAATGTGGAATTAAAAAGAGCTGCTCTAATGGCAACCAAGTAATTATTGTTGATTGTTGTTTCCCTTTATGATAGGAAACTGCCATCCTTACCTGGTCTGGCCTATATAAAGTCTAATGGTGACCATGAATCCATTGTCGATTGTCAGAAAAAAACCCATCTGGTTCACTAATGTCCTTTAGGAGAGGAAACTGCCATCCTTACCTGGTCTGGCCTACATGTGACTCCAGATCCATAGCAATATGGTTGACTCCTGAACGGCCCTCTGGGCAATTAGAGATAGGCAATAAATGCTGGCCTGGACAATGATGCCCACAGCCCATGAACAATTCATGAACGGTTCAAATGTTCGCTTTTACAGGTGAATCAATGTAGTTTCAGCCTTTTTTAATGGCTACAGTTGTAAGGGGATATAGAATTTTTTGGGTGTGAAGGAATTTAGATGCAGTTTTTAACTGTCTAACCTTATTGTTTATTAGTTTCCTGAGTAACTGTTTACCTAAATGTAGCAGAACCTCTTTAAATGGATGCTGTACCTTCATAGGATTCCAGATGCAGGGAAATCATCAATTTCCTAGACAATTCCTTTGGAGTCTTTTACACTGGGAATTCCACAGGGTTCTAGCATGTAATTCTTATCTACACTGCAGATACTACTATCTAACCTATACCCCAAATTTTATTCCAATCTCATTAGAATGACTAAAGGCAGTTTATCTACTGTTTGTAGTCTATGAGAATTATTTAATGTGATTGGCTGCTTGTTTTTGTTGCTGAATGCCTAGAAATCCCCTTAACTTAAACCAGGTTCAAACTAATGAAGGAAAAGGTGATATTTTCCCTACAGAAAGACATCACTATATCTTTGTAAATTATGTTATTTTTGCTAGTTTAGCCATAAACGCTATCACTTGACTGAAAAATCTAGGCTGGTTATATATTCTAATGTTGAATCATGTGCATTTATTGTGATTATTGAATACTGATTAGCCATCGGCAAAAGGAAAAGGAAATTCTGAAACTTAAGAGTTTTCCGTGTGCTCTTCTGGAATAAAACATTACTAATTTATATTCAACTCTTTATCTGTTAATTGGAAATAAATTTCAATCTTCAATTTTATTTTGTATAGCAGAATATCAATGTATTTGAAGGATACAAACACTTTTGCACAATTTGTAATATCAATAATGCAAGTCGCTGTGTTAATTATAGCATAATTAGACGTACTCTGCTTAGGCTGATGCCTTTCTCTCTGTGTGTATTACAGATCAGCATTTTCCTTTGTGCTGTAGCACATGGATTTCAGGACTGGGGCTGAGGAGGTAGGTGCAGTTAAGTATGTTGCATGTTGAAGTAAGGCACATCAGGAAATCTGCTTTGCATGCTTATTGAGAATAGATATTTGCATGGCAAAATTGATCTGATAATATATCTTGCAATATATTTTTAAATGCTGCTTCCAATGAATACATTGAGAATTCCACAATGCTGCAAAATGGTTCAATGGCTCAGGCTTTTAGATATTTAGTGAAAGTGTCCTTTAGAACAGAATGCATTTTCCTCTTTAATGAATTTACACAAAGGACAATGCAAATGATGAATGAAATAATTAAGAATGTAAGTTAAACAATTTTTGTGGACTTCAAAGATGTTGACTTTGAATGGTTTAGAAGATAAAAACGTAAAAATCTATTGAAAATAGGCCATTTGGCCCTTCAAGCCTATCCTCTGTTCAATAAGTTTCTGGCTGATCTGCACCAGGCATCAACACCTATTTCTTGCCAGCTCCACATAGACATTAAGTCCTCAGTATTTCAAAAATCTGTCAAATTCTTCTTTAAATACTTTGTGATCTAGCCTCCGCAACTCTCTTTGGTAGAGAAATCCAAACCTTACCTACCCTCTGGTAGGAGAAATTCCTTCACATCTCAGTTTTAAATATGTATCCGCTTATTCTGTAACTCCCCCCTCAGTTGAGAATACTCCACGAGCAGAAACATCTTTTCAACATCTACCCTGTCAAGCCCCCGTTGAATTTTCCATGTTTAAATAAGATCATTCTCCATTCTTCTAAATTCTAAGAATAAAGGCTTAATCTGTTTAGTTGTTTTTGATAAGCCAACACCTGAAACCAGGAATCAGCCTCATGAATCTTTTTTGAATTCTCAACAATACCATTACATTTGTTCTTAAATACAGGGACCAAAACTGGTCATAGTACTACACGTACAGCCTCATCAACACATGTACAGTTTAACAAGACTTTCCTATGTTTTAACTCCAACTCTCTAGCAATAAAGGCCAAAAATTCCATTTGCTTCCTTAATTTATTGCTGTATCTGCATGCTAAAGTTTTTTGTTTCATGTACAAGAACACCCAGATCTCCCTGTGCTGCACTTTGTTTGGGGTATCACTCTATTTAAGTAATAATCTGCCTTTTGATTCTTCGTGTCAAAGTACATGACCTTACAATTTCCTACATTAAACTCGATGTGCCAAGTATTCACCCACTCACTCAACCTATCTATATCCCTTTGCAGGTTCCTTTCAACCTCATCAGATCATGCCTTCCCAATTATTTTTGCATCATCAGCAAATTACTTTCTGTCTCCTCCTCCAAGTCACTCATAAAGATAGTAAGTAATTGAGGCCCTAGGACTGAACTTTGTGACACTCCACTAGTTACATCTCTCCAGCTGTAAAAGAGCCATTAATTCTGACTCTCTGTGTTCGATATGCTAAGCAATCATCAATCTGTGCTTATACATTAACCACAATACCATGAGCTCGAATGTTGTACAATAAGCTTTTATGTTGCATCTTTTGAATACTGTCTGGAAATAATTTGTAATTTGTCTTAAAAATAGAAGTAGCCCTTTAGGCATGTTGTATTGAGAATTGTGCATATAAATGCTCTTCAGAAGAGGTTAATGGCATCTTTTATATCTCCTGATTAGACAAATAAGATCTTGGTTTAACATCTCATCCAAAACAGCTATTTTCCACAATATGTCAGTACTTTATTGAAATATCAGCGTAGACTTAGTGTTCATGTCCAGTGGTATAAGTAATGAATGAGAATCAGGGAAAGGATGAGCATTGGCAGTGGTAGGGCTGTTTCTTTGGAATATTGCTGCAGAGTTTTTTTCTTGAAGACTCTTAACAGATACAGTCACAGCATCATAGAGGTAAACAACATGGAAACAGACCCTTCAGCCCAATTTGTCCATGCTGACCAGGATCCTATATTAATCTAGTCCCATTTGCTAGCATTTGGCTCATATACCTCTAAACCCTTCCTATTCATGTACCCATCCAGATGCCTTTTAAATGTTCTAATTATACAAGCCTTCACCACTTCCTCTGGCAGCTCATTCCATACATGCCCCACCCTCTGCTTGAAAAGGTTGCCCCTTAGGTCCCTTTTAAACCTTTCCCCTCTCAACTTATACCTATGCCCTCTAGTTTTGGACTCCCCTACCATGGAAAAAAGACCTTATCTATTCACCCTAACCATGCCCCTCATGATTTTATAAACATCTATAATGTCACCCCTCAGCCTCTGATGCTCCATGGAAAATAGCCCCAGCCTAGTCAGCCTGTCCCTATAATTGTAATTTCAAGTTTACCAGGAATGATTGTCAATCGGAAATAGGCTTGGAGCACTAAAAGTATATTGTTGTCCTAACATTCTGACCAATATTCCTCTCTTAATTGTTAAAACTATAAACAGATTAACTGATTCTTCATCCCATGTGTTATTTCTTGAAGCTTATTATGCGCAAATACTTCTGCATTTTCCCTGCATAATAGGTGTGCATCAAAAATAATGAATTTATGAAGTTGTAGACTTGCTCGCCGAGCCGGTGGGTTTGGGTGCAGACGTCTTGTCACCCTGCTGGGTAACATCATCACTGCACCTCCGGTGAAGCATTGGTATTCTGTCCCACTTGTTATTTATATGCCTCGGTTTGTTGGAGTGGTTGGCATCGCTTCCGGTTCTGTTTTTCAGTGGTTTGTATATTGGGTCCAGTTCAATGTGTTTGTTGATAGAGTTCCGGTTGGAATGCCAGGCCTCCAGGAATTCCCTGGCATGTATCTGTTTGGCTCATGCTATGATGGATGTGTTGCATCATTTCCCGTTAGTGGATGCTGTTTCAATTGTTTAGGTTTTCCTCTAGGGAACTCTTAAAATTCTGTCCTTAGTTTCTCTGACTAAACTTGAGAGGTTTAATTGAAATATTCTATTCTATTGGTCTTCTCAGCTAACTCTACTATTTCTGCTACTAAGATTAGATCTGTGATAAAATTAAAAGTAGCTTAAGTAGGATATTTGCAATAGGCTTTCGAGCTGTTTGAGTTTAATATGCTATACTTCATTTACCTTTGTTTCCCCTCCTCTGGTCCCTCCTGCTGTGTGTTACTTTCGTCACAACCTGCACAACTCCACTCTTTCTCTGCCCCATTGTGCTGAATCACATCCCTTCCCTGCACCCGATCCCATGGTAAGGCACACTGTTGTTGATCTCACAAAAATAAACACAAAGAACTGCAGATGCTGGAGAGCGGAGAGTGCTTTTCACAGCAAGACTGCTAACACAGCAAGTCTGGCAGAGCTGTAGAGAGAAAACAGAGGTAATGCTTTGAGTCCAGTGACCTTTTGCCAGAACTATTCTGACCTGCTATGTTTCTCCAGCACTATGTTTTTGTGTCTGTTCTCTGTATTGTTTTCCATCTCCATTATGTTTTTTTCTCTATGCATTGTTATTCACTTTAACCCAGTTTAGAGCAAATATGTTTTGACTATGCTTTCAGTTACCTATGAGTGATAAATGTAAAGAGGCATATAGAGATAAATTGGAGCTGTATAGAAAACGTTTAAAAAAGTGTAAGGAAAAGTGTCAGAGATAATTAAAGAGATAAAATATACTTCCTAAGAATTTGTTGGTATGTATGCCCACCAGTCTGTTAAGGTGGCAGAACAGGTAGATTAAATAGTTTAGAAAGCAAATGGATTCTGCCTTTATTAGCTGAGGAATAGAGTTTAAGAGCAGGGAGTTAGTGCTGGAACTCAATAAAACATTGGTTAGGCCACAGATAAAGAACTGTGTGCAGTTCTGGAATCCACATTACAGGAAGGATTTGGTTGCACTGGAGAGGATGCAGAGGAGATTTACCAGGATGTTGCCTGGACTGGAGAGTTTTAGTTATGAAGAGAGATTAGATAGACTGGGGTTATTTTCCTTGGAGCAGAAGAGACTGAGGTGGGGTGGGGTATGTGATTGAGATGTATAAAATTATGTGGGGCATAGGCACAGTAGATGGGAAGAAACATTTCCCCTGGTGGAGGGATCAATGACCGGGGGCATAGATTTAAGGTAAGAGGCAGGAGGTTTAGAGGGGATGTAAAGTATTTTTTTACCCAAAGGCTGGGAATCTGGAACTGTCTGCCTATAAAATTGGTAGAACACAGGCCCTCACAACATTTAAGTAGTATTTAGATGTGCACTTTTGATGTCAAGGCATGCAAAGCAATGGTCGAGTGCTGGAAAATGGGATTAGAATAGTTAGATGGTTGAATTTGACTGATGTAAGACTTGATTGGCCAAAAGGTCTTTTTCAATTCTGTAGACCACTATGGCTCTTAACTTTGACTCTAATTTATACGGGCTGAGCAATCGTATTCACTGCTGGTAGATTTTAGAATATGATGGACATACTGCTGCCAACCTTCAGCTGTGTGATATTGTCAGATGAGGTTCATCACCACTGATGTTTACCTTGAAGATTGCCCCCATTTAGACAGAAATGAAAGAAAATACAATCAAGCTGGTTACAGAAAAATAGTAGAAAGTAGTCAGGAAGACACAAGAGAGGGAGATGGAAACAACTTGAGGATAATTCAGAGATTCCAACCCTTTAGGACCTTTTCTTTAATCAAGACCAAAGCACAAAATCAACCATCGGAAAAAAAGGAATGAGTGTGTTTGAGGAAATAATTATTGATGAATAAAAGGAAAGGAGATTTGTGATGCAGCATGTGATATAACTCTAATTACTCATTGAGAATAAAAACATGGTAGATCCTTGAGAATGTTCAATGTAATTTGCAGTAATTACCTCCCACATTTGTTTTTACTAAAGAAAAGAATCCTTTTCTCTGAAGGGTTTGTGAATCAATTTTCCTGTCCCAAAATAACTTCAGGCTAATGTTCCCTATCAATGGCTGACTAATTTAATCAATATATTCATATTCCCACAGTATCCATTAGGCAAATTATGCATGTAAAAGGCTAAGGGCTCCCTCTCTTTAGAACATTGGGGTTGGTAATAATTTCCTATCACACGATAATGTATGTTATTGCTACTTGCAACTACTTACCTCATATTTAATTGCTGACTATTGATGTCTGTATTTCTGTTCCATTTATGGAAAACATGTTGTTGTTCTGAAGGCAGCAAGAGTTCATTTAGACAGTTTGGTAGAGCTGGAGTATGAATTTGAGACATTCCAACACATAAGTAAAGGGGAGGGGTATAGGGGGAGTGGCATGGGTGGTGGTAGGGGGGCAGTGGGGTGGGGCTAATAGTGTCTGAACAGTTTTCTCTCCAAACTTTGGTCATATTTTCCTTAGAGGTGCATACTCACATTGGTGCGTATCCCAATAATGTGCAGACTAATGAGAAATAAGGAGAGATGGAGAATGAGGATCTGCAGAAATTGATTTTAGTAAAAAGTAAAATGTACTTTTTACCTGTATTGGATATGGATAACAACTATTGGAAGGATAGCCAAAATGTGGATCATGGGAGATGAGAACAGCAAAATGTCAAAGGAGGTAGGAGGAAGAAGAAAGAAGTATAATGAAGTGTTTGTACAGAACTAAATAAGTTGGGAAAAGCTAGCATCCTTTATAAGAGCAATCAAGAATCACATTTGGTACATTGCCTAGCTGGCCGTAAGGACCTAAAGGGAGAGGGAAAGTGAAGATCTAGTCATTGTAATCCATATCTGCGGCAACATATTGGAAAGAGTAAGGATGAATCCTTGTTTGAGCATTCATAGGAGCTGAAGCTAATTTAAAGAACACTATATACCATGTTTTTACCTTAAAAAATAAAAGTCCTGGATTATTATGTGCCCATGTTGACTCTTTCTGGGAGCAACTCCTCAAGTCCCACTTAATTAGCTTCCCCCAGCTCATTAAATCTTTCCTTCTCAGATATTATGCAATTCCCCTTTAAAAACTATGATTGAATCTTTCTCTACCACAGTCTAAGGCAGAGCATTCCAGAATCTAACCACTCACCGTGTAAAAAATTTTCCTTATGTTGCTTCCAGTTCTTTTGCCAAGTGCCTTAGAGTACTATTCTCTAGTTGTCAGCTCTTTCACCAATGGGACCCCTTTCTTCACTGTCCAGCCAATTTGAACATCTCTATCAAATCAACATACCATATTCTCCACTCTAAAGGAAACAATACCAGTTTCTCTAATACAAGCAAAATATTGCAGATGCTGGAGATTTAAATAAAATAGAAGTGCTGGAAAAACCCAACAGATCCAGCAGAGAAAATCAGAGTTAGTGTTTTGAGTCTAATGACGACTTTGGAACTGAAGGGGGCTTGAAAATGATGTTTTTCAGGATGTTGACAAATAGGGGAGGAGTGAGTGAGTGGAAGAGATAATGAGGATAATGAGCAAAAGGCAAAAGGAGTGATAACGATAGTGAAGGAGTGATGTAGATGCAAAATAAGTGCTAAATGATTGGCATTGATGTTAGAAAATATGTCAACCCTTCTGAGAGCATAACCATACCATCAAGACTTGGAGAGGTAAAATGGGGAGGCTGGGACAGCTGCAAATGTAATCAAAAATAGAGGACACTGCTCGTTCTCTGAAGCGGTTGAACTTGATATTGAATTCTAAAGGCTATAGAGTACCGAAAATTTCTCAAATCCATCTATGTAACTGAAGTTCTTCATTCCTAGAACAATTTTCCAAATGCTTTCCTGTACCCCCATTAGACCTTCACAAAAGTGAATTGCCCATAATTGGATATAATACTTCAGATGTGGTTGAAACAGTGTTTTATGGATATTAACTGTAACTTCCTTAATTTGCACTCTGTATGTTTATGAAGTGCAGCATCCTTATTATCAACAGCTTTCTCAATCTGCTCTGTCATGTTTAACATATTGTGCACATATACCCCAATGTCCTTCTTTTTCTGCCCGGCATTTAAAGTTGTATCCTTTTTTGTTGCCTTGTTCCTCCTGCCAAAATGTGCCTTCAAATTTCTCCATGTTAAATTTCATTTGTCAAATATTCCACTATTCACTAATTCTGCTTCCCTAAAGGACATTTGAGAAATTCTATACATTGCAGTAGCCTGTATTTGTCCTCTTGTATCTATCACTATTCTCCTCATAGTTCATAATCCTTCATTTTTGTGTCACCTACAATTTTTTGAAATTGCTCTAGTTTATTAGGAAAGATCAAGAAAAGCAATGGGTTATAACAACCCATGTAAGTCCATATATACCATTCTCCAGTTTGAGATTGAGAGCAGCACAGACAAGGAAGTATGTGAGATTATGTTGAGCTATAAACAATTAATTTAACCTATTTGGAATTTAAATTAGATTAATTAATTAGTTTGAAAGCTAAACATTAAACCAAGTTGATTAAATACATAAGCTTTAATTTATTTAATGTATCATGTTTCTTACATTGCATGTTGCAATAGTTATTATGTGATTACATTCAATTTTTAATTAATCAGATTTATGGGAATACAATTAATTAAACAAAGAGAGATATTCACAGCAAAGGGCATTAACTTCTTAATCAAACTAAAACCAGAGATATGTAGATAAAAAGAGTTTGATTAAACTCATTAAATAAAAAACTAGATTTTTTAAAGAAAGTTAAAAACTGAATATATGCTAAGTTGAATCAAAGAGCCCAGAGGTAAGGAAGAGTTGGACCCAGAGTTCACCTTTAAGTTGGGAATGAGCAGTTGGATTTGTAGCCCTGCCTCTGTATTGGCAGTGCTTACCCATCTTATTTTTATCTTAAGTAGGGTGAGGATCGTCTGGAGACAAGTCTGTTACTTCCCGAAGAAGGCCTGAAGTGATACCAGAGTGGGGCAAATGCTGAAGTGGACAGGTTAGAAGTCCATCTTGTTGGCTGAACATTGGCCCAGTTCTCAACATGTTTGTTAGCCGTGCTAACCCTCACCCCCTCAATCCCTCTCACCTCTCAGCTCAATGCATAGCCCATCCTTCTTCTGTATGCCCATGCAACATTCATACCTCCTGTTCCAGTCAAGAAACAATTAACCCTATAATAACCCTGAAACATCTTTTAAATGCTCATGAAATGTAAAAATACGCTAACAAGTATTCAAAATTCACTTGATGAAGGTTTTCTTCTTGCAAACTCAGAAAAATGTCAATAAAATGTTATTATTCATACTTTCCCCTTATTCATTAATGGAATATTGATATCACTTGGGGCAGCAGTTTGGCTCAGTGGTTAACACTGCTGTCTCACAGTACCAGGGACCCAGGTTCGATTCCACTCTTGGGTGACTGTCTGTGTGGACTTTGCACATTCTCCCCGTGTCTCCGT